AAAACACTCCGACTACGATCTGACCGAAATCAGCAAGTATTGAACATTCCAGCACTTCTTCTTTGAATATAAAGGTTTGATGCCAAGATGTTTTAACATGTTTTAAACGTGGACAAAAAAGATTTGTGTCAGGTTTCAATTGGACAGTTAGAGTCTCAGTGTGCTAGAGGACTTGCCAGTCACGAAATCAATGTTTTCACGTCGAATTCTTCAGGTGTCAGAGTAGATCACAAGTTGAAGCGACTGAAGCAACTGATATGGACTGATATGGATCAAGATCCTGGAGGCACTCTTCGTCTCGATCCTTTTTGTGATTGGTTGCTGCTGGCAGCTCAATCCGACTCAATCCGACTCAATCCCAACGGCCCAACGCTGAGATGTGCTGAGATTTTCCGAGGTTCAGTATGCAGTTTTTTGGCTCCGCAGAAATACCTGGCCGAAGCTTCAGTGATTTTTGGACAAAGCAGAAGTGAAACCTGGAGATATGATAGCACACTGCCACATGTACATATTGAATCTACAGTATATGAAATATTACTAAAAAGAAATGTCGCAGCTAGAGCAATGCAATTTCACGAGTTCTCACCTATCACAACCTTACTGTGGTCATTTGTGTTGTGACTTCCAACTGCAGATGTTGTTCCAGGTCAGAAGATTCCCCTGGCTGGATTCATATTTGCCGCGGGCATAGAGCGTTACAGCGATCACTCGGCCGATGCCATCGTTGGATCGTAATTTGATCGTTTGATCGACATTTCCTGAGGCCTTCCTGGTTTTCGGGAGCTCGCCATGAGCCCTTCATGAAACTGCAGGAGAAAGTCGAAAGTCCATGAAAGTCTGAAATTCCACTTGTCCTTTCAGTAAAGTCCCAGATTTGTTGGACACTTGGTAGTTTGCTCATCAGGAGGGACGCACCTATCGAGGTGTTCAGTCGATGTGCGTGTCTCATATTTCAAGTTCGGAGGCAGCAGAGAGATGCTGAGCTTTTGAGTCATTGCCATTTTGCCATTTCATCCACCAGAATCGCTCGAATGTGATCGAGGTATGAAGAGGATCAGGCGAAAGGGTTTTTTGTGGGTTCCCACGTGTTCCCACCGTCGCCGTGAAGAATCTTTGACCAGAATCCAATGGTTGCTTTCTTCAGCTTCGTTTAGCTGTATTACATGATTACATTGTATTATTATACTATAGTGATATTATTGTCAATATTGTGACATTACTGTGAGTTTATGAGATCACACCACACATGCACAACGAAACGAAGTGATCTCTGCTCCGTCACTCCGTCGGCCGCTGTCGGCCAGCTGCCTCTGATGTATCCTGGCGGTCCTCAGCATGGACCTCACGGACAGCAACGGCAACCGCAACGAAGATATCTCTGTAAGTGTAGATCTGTCTGCTTCCAGGATTTTCATGGATTTTCAGCACCGTTTGATAAGAACAAAGCCTGAACAGATTCCGAAATGAGATCCGATTCAGATCGTGCCCGAGGTTTGCCCGGGCTGGCGTGCCTCCAATGGCAGCTTCCATGCCCCCGATGGCAGCGATGTCATCGTTGCCACCAACCCAACATCTGGCACCGCAGATGCAGCGATCACCTCAAAGCGATGTGAACTGCTTTGTTTGAAAGCTGTTTTTCTCATTTTTTCTCCATTGTGCAATGTTAGTGCAATAAGTGGTGCTTTGGACCAATTCATCCCACAGATCCCACATATCCGACACATCCGACATATCCAGCGCCCAAGGAGTCCGGAGAATCTCTGGGGATCGCAGTACCCAGGCCCTCTTCCACCGGTGGATACTCGGCTGCAGAGACACCGGTGGATACTTGGCTTTTGTCCATGGGCATTTTGTCCATGGCCATGGTGCGTCAGGATGCCGGCTATGATTTGGTGACTGTAACTCCAACCGGTATAGAGGCCCGACTTTGGGGTGCACATACTTCGAACATCTTCGAATTTTATTCCCTGCGAACCAAAGACCTCGTTAAACTTGATCGTTTCAATGAACATGTCTGACTTGTAAAAGAACGTACTTTACTTGAGCTAATTTTTACCAAAGCTCCGTTGATGCAGTGGACAAATGCGTTTTATCGACAAATCACTGCAAATCATTCTCCCAACTGGTTGAGTTCCAGGGCTCTTGGTATCAATTTATATCAATTTCATTGTTTGCAATCGCCCTTTACAGCTGCCCACAGGCCGCGAACGTCCCGTCAACAACCCGAAACAAGCCGTGAAACACCCTTGAACCATCCGTGAACAACCCGTGAACCACCCGTGAACCACCCGGGAACCACCCGTGAACCACCCGTGAACCACCCGTGAACCACCCGTGAACCACCCGTGAACCACCCGTGAGACCAGCGTGTTAGAGACACAAAAAACTGGGTTAGAGACCCGAAAAACTGATTTTGTACCGTGAGCGACCCGTGAAACACCCGTGAAGCACCCGTGAAGCATCCGTGAAGCACCCGTGAATGATCCGGGGACGCTCAATGAACATGCATTAACGGGCAAATGGTTTCCATCTTTTTGCAGGTTCCCAATATCAAATGCAGTCTGTCATAGCACTATATGCATGTCTCTATGAACCAAGTCTCTCTCAAGATAGATTCAAAACAGTGATGTTGCTGAAGTGTTGACAGCAAGTGGTTAGAAGGATTTAGAAATGTGATCGGAGAGCGCAATTTCAAATGATCAAGTTAAACTTGTTCTTAACCAATGTGGACAGGTTAAACTGGTCTTTCGGGTTTGTAGGGATTGTGTAGATGTGTACACCATGTGTGCTAATGTCTGCCATTTATATCCATTTATACAGTCTCTAAGTGTTTCGATGTACTTTGATGGTTGAGGACTTCCATGGACTGGCCAGGTCACACCCCTGGGAGAGACGCCGCCCGCTGGAGTTGGGACCTGATCTGTCAACAGAGGATGTGTCCAACTGATAGATTCCCATCATGTCTCAAGAGTGAAGCGCAAAACCGTTTAATGATGTTTAATGTGCGTTATTTTTTGGTGAAACCATTCTGGGTTTACATCTTTTTCTACATTGGATTTCCGTGCTTGTTCATGGAGTGACATGTTGGATTTTTCATTTCTCCTCACAATCCCGCAATTTTTCAGGTGCCAATTGTGAATCCTTCCTTTCCAATGCCCGTTCAGTACACCTAAGGCGCGTGTGGAAACTTTTTTGTGTGTGTTTTCTGGTTCAACTGGCAAACTCAACATCTATGCAGGAAGAACATTTCAAGCGCAATAAATCTTTCATGAATATCAAGACAAAAGGATCCTACTATGAAAGGAAATTACTGGAATATACTGGAATGACAATGGAATGACTTTGTTTGCCGTGATGGGAAGGCTTCCCTAGAGATGCTGTTTGTTCCTCAGGGGACACGATGAGTCTTTGCATCTGCGGATCCAGTTTGACATATCCAGATTTCCCGTGGTACAGGTAGTCACAGGGCAAATATGGTTCAGGTTCCAGCCCCCCTACAAACTAATCGCATCAGATTACAATGATTGACACCATTTTTGGTAAGGTTTAGCAAGCTTAGTACATGTGTGTTGTAACTTTTGGTTGCAAACCCAGTATCGTTGGACGTCGTTAGGTTCCATTTTCATCCATTTTCAGCATTGCTAGACTTGAGGCTCCATCAGCCAAGTTGGAGGTACTTGTGCCTGTCCAAAGTGACGTGCCAAAGAGCACTGGCGCAGCCCTACCAGCCCTGCGCCGCGTTGGTGGCGTTGTGCAGCTGGAAAAAGTTGGGCACAGAAGCACTGTGTTTTGGAATGTTCGGAGGCACTGAGCACAAAATGCACAAATTTCAAGATGGTGCGGACAGATGTGAGAGTTATCACTAGCAGCATCAGCATCATGGAACCATCATGAATGCATTAGCCACGATGTCTCGCTTCTTTTTGGCTTCGAAGTTTTTCACATCGGCAAAGCTTGCCGGCCACAAACGTTTCGGCCGGGCCCATGGGGGGTCCCAGCCACAGGCACATGGATCGATTGGATCTGCCTTCGAACAGTGAAATCGAGCAGTGACCAGCCAGATGGCTCGGTAGCGACGGAAGACACTGAAGCTACAGCAGCTACAGCAGCTACAGGTGATGAGCTTCTGTAGCTTCGGCTTCATTCGGCATATAGGTCCTAATGAGGACATCTTCTGGAATCGACGCGATCCCAGGTTGATTTCGTGTATCATTCTGTCTGTCTTAGACTGTCGACACTTGACTCGTCACTTCACTTGCGACACGGTGACTGGCGATTTTGTGGATCTCCTGGAAAGCATGGCATAGACACAGTCGATTCAGTCGATGCTGTGACAGTCCTACCTTTGCCCGGCCGTCAACTGTACAACAGTTTGTACAACGAACTGTACGACGTAGTGACGTAGTCGTACCCAAAAACACAAAAACGTCAGCCTGGCAATGGAGATCCCACAGATCTCAGTAGATCGTGACGCTACAGCCGCTACACGGACTTGCTTTGCCAAAAGGAGATTTGCGCTTCCGAAGAGGCAAAGAATCAACTTAACCAAAACTTAATCAACTTTCCCAGGAGTCGAACGTCGCAATTTTGTCGTTGTGTTTTTTCGTGTTTCAGCTAAGCCCTCCAAGATGAAGTGAGAGATGCCTCTAGACAGACCCGGGTACTTCGCAATTGGTGAAGATGCCGGGGAGTTAGAGAATCTATGCGAATTGGAATGTCTCAAGAAACGACCAGAAAGATTTGAAAGACTTGAGGGACTTGTAACTTAAAGTCAATGCCAGTCTCGAGATGTGGAGTCGCTACCACATGCATTCAGAAAACGCACCAAAAGATGAGGCCACCGAACAAGAGCTCTGAAGTAAGGTGTCCCAAGCATGCCAAGCATGGCAGGAGAGACAGACAACTGGAATGACTGGAATGCAATTTCACATGAAACCCGATGCGAGAGCTATGTCACACATGTCACATTTTGGATCGTATCGCGAGTATCGAGTGAAAGCCTTGTCTCTAAACTTTTTTGATTTGGTGCAACGTCTTGGTATCATGCCAAGTTGTGTGGCCGGTCACAGGATTCCGGCGCCTTTGGGAGGTCATGATTTTGCCGCGTCTGGTCCTGATGAGATCTTTGGCATGGGAGCTCAAGCGTCAGAATCTCTTCAAAATCCACAGCTCTCAGCTTTGAGACCCCGAAATGTACCCATTTTGGAGGCATCAGCTTTACCAACCGTCACTTTCACGGTGAATCTGGCGTTTTGTGGAGCTCAAGTGACCTGTGGTGAAGTGGTGTTGATCCATGCTGGAGCTGGTGGAGTAGGTTTGGCTGCCATCTCAGCAGCAAGACGCTTGGGTGCCCAGGTGCTGTGCAGCGCCGGTTCTGCGAAGAAGATCTGTTTCCTGAGAAATCGCGGAGTTCTCCAAGTGGCCGCATCCAGAGATGGCGAAGCATTTCTCATGGATTTCTATGATCTTTCCATGGGATGAGCGACATTTTTCATGGGATCAACGGTTGTTTGAATTTTCCCATGTCTATGAGTTGTCCATCGGTGATTTTGAACTCTTTGACCCATCAAGATTTCGTCCCACGCAGCTTGTCGCTGCTGGATGCTGCTGGACGCTTTGTGGAGCTGGCCAAGTTGCAGGCAATTTGTGGCATTTTGACATTTTTTTTTACCAGGTAGATGTCTAGGGGTTCGGAGATCTTGGGGCATCCTTGCGGTGAGATCATATTTGCAGGTGTTGCTCCTACATGAAACCACCTGAAGACAGCCAGGAAACTGCAAACTTCTGCGTGTATCAAAATTGTAGTACGGTCCAAAAGCTTGATGACCCATTTCTGTCGAGTCCAAGACCCCAAGAATTGGTCCTGAAATCGCGAGGCATGGTCCGCTGCCCAAGTTGCGGCCTTCCGCGCAGACGTGAAGTATGCTGTCCTGTTGCTGGATAGACGAGTAGCCGAGGCGATAATCCGTCTGCTGTCGAGCGGACACTTTGGGTGTGGCTCAATATGGCTCAACATGACAAGATATGACAAGATATGGGCACCCTATGGGGACTCTATGGAAACCTAAACGAAGGGGCCCTGTGTCAAGATGACGCCACCTCCTGGACAGGCTCCCAGCACTTTGCGGAATGAGATGCGAAGTGTCGCAACGGTGGCCAGTCCGGGACCCATGCTGTGAGTTGGACGAGTTGGACTGTTCACATCGTTCACTTCATCCTCAATGATATTCAATGACATTCAACATTAACATACATTAACATACATTAACATCATTGCAACATGACTGATCTCAATTCAGCAGCCATAGGGATCATAGGGCCATAGCATGTTGATGCAGGTGAAATGATGAGCTATGGCCGCCGGTAGAGATCAATGTTTACAACTTTCCCAACGAAGTGGTCACAGCATTCAAAGTGCTTCAGCAAGCCAAGCAGATTGGTGACTTGGCACGACGTCCTGGGACCACTAGGATGGATGAACACCGAAACACCAAAACAGCGAAACGCAACATGGTTCTTTCGTGTGCTTTCCAAAATTGAAAATCCATCAAAACCATGAAACATCTGCCAAAATAAAGATGAAACCATGTTTTGGTTTGCATTTTGTTTGGCTTACAGGTGTCCCATTTGATCATATATTTTAATATATTTTGTCGCTATATCCATTGTTATCTCAGTCATCGGCCGACGTCGGCTGAGGAAAAGTGGTGTTGAGCTTCGACAGACGTGGCGTGGCATCGGCCGAACACTTCCAGCTTGACATCGGTCGATTGATCCGCCTCTTGGTCGAATGGACCGTGCAGCCCGCAAATTGGAAGGACACATCATGACACATCAAACAAAATCAAACAAAATCAAGAAATCAGCATTGAAAAGCAAAACATTAGAATGGATGAGAGTTCAGATTAGCCAAGCAGATTCAATGTTCAACATTCCTCTGCCAAATTTGGGGTTGTGGCCATTGATCACTTGTATAGATGCAGATGTCACCAGGGAAGTCATGCTGCGGTAGAAAGCCAGGGGTTGAAACATGTTGAAACCATTGACCACCGGAGAAAAAACATGAAAAAACCCATTATCTCACCCGTCTCAGCCTTTCCAAATCTTTCGATGCCAAGGACCCACTGAAGAGCCATTGAAACTTCGTCTGGAAGCTTCGACCGTTGCTCTGCGTCAGCCAGACATACTGCCCGACATGCTGCCCGACATGCTGCCCGACATGCCGTCGAGTGAAAGGAACAATCAATGAGTAACCGCTGTGTAAACGTGACGCCACTTCTGAAACCCCTTGAAACATCGAAGGCAAACTGGTTCTACTGGAACAATCTGATCCTGCGACCGGCCTTTCGCTTTCTGAGTAGAGTTGAGGGAACGACACACCATGGAGCCCTGACTTTCCAAAACACTGCCAGACATCGCCTCCAGTTACAGGTCCACTTGGTCCACTTGGTCCACTTGGTCCACTTAACCACCTCAGTTGATGCTTCAGAGAAATCTAATTGGGAATTTTGCCATGAGAAAATTGGAGCTGATCTCAATGATTTCAACCGCGACGTTCCAGTTCTCCCAGTTCTTCCAGTTCTCCCGGTGTCCCCCAGTTTGATTTCCATGCGCGGCCACGTGCTCCGGATGCCCATCGCAGCCTAGCTGCACATCGCCCCCGGCGCTACGTCCGCCGTGTTCCTCTGCGCCGGGGTCGGAGCCGGGCGATGGAAATCCTCGCTACCACCAATTCATCGGGCCAGCAATACTTTCCACTGGAGAAATGAATGAAAATGATCCCATAGATCCCATAGATGCAATAGATTCCATAGATCATTTAGATGTAAAGTAGGTCATTTCGATAGTTTGGATCCCGGGCTGCCATGTGTGGAAGCAGATGGTGGGACTTTGCCCAAGCACTTGCTGTAGCCAAAGTGTTGCCTGAAATTATTGTGAATGTAAGGCACTCAAGTTCCCCACTCACTTGGCTAGATGCTTTTGATGACTTCAAGCTTGAAGCGAATTTCGTGCTCAGACGCTCCGTGAGTTCTTGTTTTGCTACAGAGCGTCGACTGCGATGGTCACAGTCCATGACGTATTGCAAGTTGCACTAAGTCGCACTAAGTCGCACTTGAATTTGGCCAAAATCTGCCAAAACTGCATTGCTTCGAAGTTTGACGGTCTACCAAGAGACAGTACCACAGGTCCTTTGAGTCTTGTAGGTGTTCAGAGCCAAACCTGTGAAGCGCGAAAAGCGATGAACGCCATTGAGGGAAACTGGGAATGGTGGAACTGATGCCACTGGTAAAATTCATGAAATTTCAGATGACCCCCAGGTTCTTGGCCCCGATCTCCCGATTAAAACACTCCTCTCTTTGGCGTTTTTACACCTGTGAGCGGTTCCAGGTGGTGAAGCACATTCCAAAGCTGAAACGGCTGTACCTTTATGACCTGCCAGAGCTTGCTGATGAGCCGGAAGCGGGGTGCCCGGCACGGGCAGCATGCGTGTTATGCACTGCGCCCACTGTGTGCACCTGTGTTTGAGTCCTCCAAAAAAGTGCCTTGTTCATACCTAAGACCTAAGCTGCAACATTCAATTACCGGGGTGCGATAATCTGACGGCGTGCAAGTCAGCCAAATATGAAAGTGGTGCGAGCTTTAGATCAGCGAAAGATTTGAGAAATGTCATCCCCGGTCTACCCGTTGATGTCATGGCACTCAGGCGTGATGGCATGACATGCTTCAAACTCTGGAGATCCCAAGCTGTATGGTCTCAGGTTCCCCTAAGTTTTCCCCCAACCCAGCAACCCCAGCAACGGGTGGGGACAACGCAGATGGCCATGGATCATATGGATCCATCTCCAGCATCGCCAATGCCTGTCTTGGGTCAAATCATACCCCAGGCGACCGTTGAACGACAGGCTTTGGGTACCACTTGGGCTGACTTTCTGTTGCGCCTCGGGGGTCAGGCGGGTCAGGCCACACCCATCTCAGCAGTCAGAAACCGTTGCGGTCCCTTGCCATTCTTCACTCGACATTGGAAGGGAGATCACTTGAAACCGCTGAACATTTGAACATCCGAAGGACAGACATCCAAAGGTCACCAACGGTGCATCGCATTGCGGAGACTTTGCCAACTTTGCCGAAGGTTTTAAAACAGATCAAGCCCTGCTGAAGCCTTGAAGCCGATAAACATCAGGACATTGTTGTAACCTACGAATTCAGAAGTCAGAGCGTCTTCCCACTCCTTGATCGAAGGATGAGAAGGATGAGCTGTGAGGCTTGTGAGGCTGATGAAGATAGATCCCTTTTGAATCCGAGTGGGACGTTGATGACTTGATGACTGAGTTCTCCACCGCACCACACTACACATTGATGACCCTGAGGTTTTCTGGATTTTGCAGATCATGTGTGTTCTCAGTCGAGTCTGCGCGAAAAGCATGGAAATCCGAACCTCTAAGCTTCCTCCAAACTTGAATGAAAAGTTGCCTAGACCTGTACAGTTCGTGAGTTGCTCAACATGCTGTACTTTAGTGGCTTTAGTAGCTTTCAGATTCTGCAAGGCTTGTTACTGAGCTTGTGAAACCATCGCAACAGCCACGTAATCAGAATATGTCCTAAGTATGTCGTCGATTGAGATAGATGTTGGCTCCGATGGTTTGCAGCCAGCACCTGTAGCATCAGTGGTGCATTTGCTGGCACAGCTATCTGCGAGAGCTTCACCTGAGCAGCTCACACATCGTGAGTCACAATGCGCACCATTTGGAGCCGGCTGAGTCTGACTGTTTCAGCGCAATTTCAGTCAGATCTCCCGAGCTGCCAGCGTCCGGTGTAGCCAGGAGTCGAGCTCGGGAAGGTCGGGAAGGTCGGGAAGGTCGGGAAGGTCGGGAAGGTCGGGAAGGTCGGGAAGGTCGGGAAGGTCGGGGTCGACGAGGTCCACAACTCTCCGTGTCCATCACCGCTTCAGCTCGGCCAGCTGTGTTGGATCCCGGACGTGCTTCGATCCCGGTGCCTTCCGTGCCTTCCGTGCCTTAGCTGCACTGTTTCGCTGTTTCGCCAAATTCGTGGATTTCGCAAACATTTCATATGTCGGTCATATTTCGTCCGTTTCATTTCAGCCAAAGGCGGAGGAAGCTGTGGTCAGGACTGCATCCACAGCAAGATGCTGCAAGGGACATTTTCCTGGAAATCCTGCCAGATTCATCCAAGACGTGATTTCTCACCCAGCTGTTTTTCATGGCGATTCTCTGATGTCCTGTCCCGCAGCTGTTTTCCTCCAGTTTGCGAATGGTTTGGTGTGAGATTTGTGTGCCAAATGTCGCATGGCGTGGCATTTCCTTTGGCTTTCTTGGGGCCTTTCTTAGGGCCTTTCATCATCTTCATGGGCCATTTCGCCTATTTGTTGCCCTTTTACTTCACGTTGAATGCTTTGATTTTGGGAAATCGTCAGGAAGCCGAGTGGATCATGCGTAGTGCTCTCCTGAAGTCCATGGTCATTTCAGGACTTCGTAGTACTTCGTAGCTGTAGCTTTCATCGACCCTCTAAGATCTCTAAGTCCTACTCATTCTACTCCAAGTTTGTAAGCAATTTGAACATTTTGTAAGGATATATCCTAGATTCCTAGATATGTAAGGATGTTCCTCAACGGGATGATGCAGTCAGCTCAGGAGTGGCAGAAATCTTCTGGTCTACTCTCTGTTGGCAACTGAGCCACCGAAGTTGTGGCATTTTGACGCTGGCAGCTGCGTTTCTCCAATCTCTGCAGATGTTTTGTGCTTTCTTTGGCCCCTACGATGCGTTGGGTGCCTTCGCATTGCAATGTGCCACTCAGCTTCTGATGATTCCAGTGGCTCAGATTGGAGCCCAACATACTTTGAAGCAGGGAATCAGCCCTGCACGCTACAAGATCATCGCATGGTTTCTGGGCAAGACATGGGAAGACATGGCAAGACATCAAAAAACGACGTTGTTACATTCATTGGACACGATGAAAGGATGTAAAATTGGGGAGGAACTAGAACTAATCGCTGCTATGAAAAAATGTCGAACACTTCAAAGCTGACAACTAAGGCTTCTCAGTGTGGTGCTGGCCATTGTGCTCCTACTCTTTCCAAACCTGGTATGTTTCTGGCTGGTGCTTCCCTGTGTCGTGTTGCCCTATACAATGCTGGGCATCCTGTTGACTGCCCGGAGCTTTCCAACGGCCACCAAGCCGCAATCGGCATCCAAGACATCCAGCGGTGCTTCAAACGGCGTTTCCGCCGTGTCGGCCACAGCTGCTGCGGGCTTTGGAGTTTTGGGTCTGCTGAGTGGAACGATTGGTGAAGCCTTGACGGACTCAGCGACCACCCTGGCGCTTCGAAGTGAATTGAAAGCTGGAAACAGCGAGTTGGCCTTGGCCAATCACGTCACTGTCCTGTCTTCCATGTCTTTGGCATTCTGGACGCAATCCAAATCCGAAAGAAGTACTCAGAAACAGGTGGCTTGTGGTCAAAAAAGTCAAAATCCCCCAGAAGACTATGATACCTAGTGACCTAGTGCAGTCAACATAGCGACAGGAAAGATCGTTTTCAGCTTCTATCTGATTCTATCCTTTTGAAGTCCTCAGGGTTCATCACTCCCCGAGTCAGGTGCTGTGCATGTTGCTTTGGGCTGGATGCCAAGTCTTTCGAATTGCTGCCCTTCCATATCTCGGCAAGCAAGACACTGGACAAAGTCGTTTCGTGGCCTTGGCAGCCATGGTCTTTCTGGACCACCAACTCACAAGAACTCGCAGTTTTCACCAAGTAAAATAATACAATGACTATTATAAATAAGTGACTTATAAGTCATATTACATATATATATATATTATATATAATTATATAATTATATATATATAACAATTGCCGAGCTACTGTTTGTTGGCTCCTATGCCATATCGAACTCGTCACTGGCTATATCCATCACAGAAATTAAATTAAACATTGTTGTTGGTTCTAGTCCTCGTTCTTGCTGCTATCCTCCTTGTGTTGTTCTCCTCAGTGTTTGCAAAATCTCATGGCAGTTCTGCTTGAATTAACTATCATCGTCATCATCGTCCAGCGGCTGCTCAACTTGGCAGGACAAATACACAGGTCCCTTGGGATCTGCATCTTTGGACTCCGCGTTGCTTGCAGTTTTGTACCACGGAAGATGCAACAAAGGCCGAGATGCCGAGAGGGCAGGGTGTCACCTGAGGGAAGTTGATTCACAACGAAGCGACGATTGGCCATTAACGATTGGCTCCATTGCAGCTGCATCAGCTGCATTCTCTTCCCAGTCTCGCTCCCATTTCCAGTTTTGCGTTGGTTCATGTTGGTTCCACGACCCGTTTCTGGAGTTACAGCCCAGCGCGGAGCACTTACATGGGTGTTCACCCCCGACTTTAAAGTGTCAACATAGAACCAAATCCCAATTCATTATATTCATTGGGTTAACATCCCATGGAAACATAATGATACGCCACTGATACGCCACTGATAACTGTTAGATTAACTGTTAGATATAACTGTTAGATAATTATAGAATCTTATAGATACTTCCCCAAGTCAGTTCATGTCAGTTCCAGATTGCTGTGGATTTCGGCAACTCTTGACGCCAAAGTTTCACGGCAGGTCTTCCAGAGACTGTTCTGTGGACGATGAGGACAGCTGTTGCGAGGCAGGACGTTGAAGGTATGTCGTTTCAGCCTATGATGAACAGCTCCCTGGTGTGAATAGGCTAAAGTAGGCTAAAGTAGGCTAAATGACATTGAAAATAGGCCTAAATGGGCTTGAATAAAATCTTCAAAACATTTTGAATGGGATGTTGGGAAGTGAAGAGATGAGTGTTACGATCACAGCAATTCCATCAGATTCAGGATGGAGCGGCCGATTTGTCAGCTGATCATGCTGCATGCATCTCTGGACGTCGAGACTTTGTCGCTGATTTTCACCTTCATGACTTCGGTGGGAGTGCTGGCAGTGCTCCAATTATATGACGGAAGAACCAAAGTGGATTGAGCCATACAATTGGAAGCCACACTGAGCCATACCGAATGGCAGCCTTGGCCCCGGATCTTGAATGAAGATCGCAACAGAACACCCTGAGCCAAAGGGAGGCAAGCAGGTTTACAAGCAGATCAGTTGGCACGAGCACGTTGAACAAGGATGAACAACATCCTGGTTCTGAAACTCTTCGAAGCTCAGCCATGACCATGGCAACATACCATGGCTCGATCTCAACCAGCTCTAGCTCCACAGAGAGATTTGTTGAATTTGTTACATTAGTTCATTTAATTTGTCAACTCCAAAGGACTTCTGGAGGCTCATCCGAGGCGCCAAAGCGCGTCTAAGTGATGGTCTCTGTGAATGTCAGGTTGGAGCAACCTGGGATCAATGACATAATCATCCGTGCGGTAAAAAGGTTGCAACATGGCATCAACTGAAAACTGTTGGCTCTGCACTCGGAACATGTCAAACCAGCTTGAAGTCCTAAAGTTGTAGCATGTTATAGTCATAATCATTTTAATTTTTGAGATTCTGGTTTCGGCCCGAATGCCTTCCAGCTGGTAAACCTGAGACAGCTAAAGATCGGGACATCGTTGCACCAGCCATGGTTTCATTCGTTGTCGGTACCGCTTGCCCTGGTGAGGGGGGTTTGGTCAATGAATTGGTACAGGCGACTGAGGTTGCCCAGGTTGCACTTGTTCCATTTGCCTGCTTTCAGGGGATTCTGATGAATGCGTCACCATCCTCGACACAATGCATTTGGTGTTGAAGTTCCTGGTGAGGCCTCCGCACGGGCTACAAGCATTGGTCGACCCTTCATGATCCAGTCTGCCCACCACTTACTCGGTCACCTGGGTTGGCCCTTGACACAGTTAGGAGGAGAGAGGGTGTGCTCAGATTTCATCTTACTTTCTTGTATTGCTGTACTTGCTTGCATGCCTGGACGAAGAGAGCTTGGAACTTTGTTTGTGCTTGGGCGGCACGCCAGCCAGCGCGGCGCAGCAACGGCCATCGAGCCCTGCGAGGCTATGAGCACGCCAAGAGACGATGCCGCAAAACTCTTGTGGCAGCTTGTGGGTTGCTCATGGCCCGCAACTCTTAGGAAGACTAAACCACTACATGGCCACCTCTTTGACATGGTCGTTCAACATGGTCGTTCACCACCTTCGGAGCCTTGAAACCTGAGCCTCTCGGGCCGCACAATACGTGCTTTTCCCTAGTGTTTATTTAGATCCTGCACGGCACAGCCCGCGCAGCACGGCATCACCGCTAGCACCTGTCTGGCAGAAATTATGTTCAAGCCTTTTGCCGGCGTCCTGAGCCACAAGCTCTACCCGCTAAAGGCCATGGCTACACGTTAACGTTCTGCAACGGTCCGTGGAAGATTCATGGAAGGTGGCTGTGGGCAAACTCTTGCAGCCACCCTTGACGTGTGTACAAAGCTGACTGTTGACACTGACCTTGGCCACTGCTGCACTGCTCACGCCGTGCACAGTTGCTCACAATCCGTCCGAGCTAATTTTTGAGATTCTTTGAGTCTTTCTTTGAGTCTTTCTGTGACCATCCAGAACATGTTGCTGCAGGACCAGTGCTGTGGCCCTGAACTTCTTCGATATCATTCAGGACGGAACTGGGCGGAACTGCTCCCCTACAGGAATCGTTTGTGTTCTCGCATGTTCTCGTCAAAGGTGACCCTGCAACAATATCTGGCCTTCCAGATGGGTATAATTAATCCCAACCATGAGGTGTTTATTAGCTTATTAGCACTATTAAACTATATTAAACTTAAAACATCAAGATCTCATCCTCAGCTTGTTGCATAGATCACCTTCGGTGGTGCGTGTCCGTGACATCGGGCACAGGTCATGGGAGCGATGCCCAGCATGGTGGGCGGAAGGCCCGGATGGCCATTGCGACAGATTGCGACAGATTGGAGTTGGATAAATTCCCCTGGTGACTCGATGACTGCAGGGCTGTGGTGCAGACTGGTAGTGCTCCAGGGAGCGATTTTGTGTGGATGCCCAGAGGTCTTGCGAGCAGATGCGAGCAGCAAACAAAAAAATGCAGACATGAAATCATGGACAGCCACCTTTTGGCCGCCTTGTTTTTTTCAATCGACAATTTTGAGAAGATCACGGTCAACATTTTAAGACTCTCCTGGATGTTTTGTTCCTGCAGCTTCTTGTAGACTCAAATGATAACATGGAATGGCAAGCAGATAGGATCACACAGATTCCTTGAACCCATTGAACTCAGCACTCCTTACTGCTGAACATGGATGACATGGCCTCCAACATAGCCCAGTTGCTTAGATGCAAGGTCCATTTGTCGCTGCGTGAGCCATGGGGGCTCATGACAAACTTGTGATGGGCGAAAAACTGCACAGCCATAGGATTGGTGACGGCACCGGAACCACTGGCAATGGCATAGACCTGTCAGGTATCAAATGTTCCATCTCTCCATGGACATATTTCAAAGGCGCCATCGCTCACTGCATGGTTTGGGGCGGGTTACAACTTGGCGCCCTGAGTCCAGTTGTTACCCTGGCCACCTACCAGCTGTTGGGTCCTCGTTGTGCTGTGCTGTTTTTGGCATTTGCCATCCTTAGCGTCTTAGCACCGTCACGTCACTCCCCAGCCTTCTGCCGCTTCTACTTGGGAAGTGCAGCATGTGTTGGTGGCTCGACAGTGTGGGTTCCAGACAAAATTTTGCAGCTACTCCAAGGCAGAGGATATTTGTTGCTCGGCCGGTCCCATTGGAACCCTAATTCCTTTTCTTCAATTTTGCCTGCAAAGAGGGATATTTTGACATTTTCCATTCTTTTTTTGGCTCAGCACCATCACTTGTCATAATTTGTCATAATAAACTCACCATGCTCACCCAAATTCTTTGGTCAGTTTCTTGTGATATCGTGACATATCGTGACATATTGATGGATAGCACATGGATAGCATATGGATAGCATATGGATAGCATATGGATGTCGTATTGGATGTCGTTATGGATAGTGATGGATGTCGTGGATGTCGTGGATGTCGTTGCTCAGGGTGTGCTTCCATCCGCATGGCATTCTACCGCTGGGATTCAGCTTCAACGGGCGTCTCGTCGGAGGTTGACCTTGTTCTCAAGGTATCAAGGTATCTACAAATTCAAGAAAAACAAAACAGAATTAAATCAGAATTTTCAGATTGTGACTTTATTGTACTTGATTTACAAATTTTACTGCTGTGGCACAGTATGTGTTTTTTTTTTCCACTGAACTGACGCAGATGGCCAGCCAGTTGTGCCACTGACCATATCTGACCATATCCGACACTCAGGGCGCTGAGGGTGAAGGCTGAAGCACCAGAACAATTTCTGCCCGCATCCTTCAACTTTCCCAAGGACTGCGAACTGTGACAGAACAAGCATCTTCATAACGATTTAGAACGGTTCATATTTGGAGGGTCAGAAACGGTTGACAAGAGTGAGCGAAGAGAGCTACTAGAGGAATCCAACTAGAAAAAATGTGAATACCAGAAAGAAACATGTAAAAAGCAGCAACGAGTGATCAAGAAATGTTCGAGTTGGAGTTTACATCTTTGATTTTGCATCACTTGCTACATTCAACACCGTCAATACTTTTCTGACTCCAACCGAAAAAGTCGGCCAGTCACATTTTTTGGTGATCGAATCTGATGGAATCTCATCTGCTCCATTCGTAGGATTGCAACGGCGTCCAAGCTCCCGTGCTGTGGCGTGTGCCGTTCTTTGCTCCAGCTCTTCGCATGTGGGACGCGCCAGGATCTCAGACTCAAAACGATGCAATACACACAGATGTTTTAACATGTTTTAACATGTTTTAACATGTTTTAACATGTTTTAACATGTTTTAACATGTTTTAACATGTTTTAACATGTTTTAACATGTTTATGCAAACTGAACGTTTCAAAGTTTCTACTTGATCCATCTAATCATTCTTCAACTACCTTGCTGCATCTTGCTGCTTTCCATTTGTATTAGAACGTGCCTTCGGAGTCCCGGAGGGAACGTGTTGGGGATCATTCTCCGAGGTGCACACCTGCGACAAAAGGACTGGCAGCGGATTTTCCCATCATTTCCCATCCAAATTGCGCCCGGTTGTTGGAATGGCTCAATGGCTCTGTATTCGAATGTCTTAAAGCCCGAAACGTTACCAATGTTTAACATGGTAAAAAATACGTTATCAGCGGTTGATTGAACTTCTTTGAGCCCAGGAAACATGAAGAAGCTCTTGGCTGCCAAGGCTGCCTTTGGCATCATCCCTGGTGGCAGCGAGGATGTAGCTATCCATGAGCATGGCAAAGAGAATGTGTACATCAACTCCCGCTATGGTTTTATCAAATATGCTCTTCAGCATGGCTACTCCCTGATTTTGGCCTACACCTTTGGTGAAAATGATCAATTCTATAGCTTGTCATGCTTAAGACCCTTGAACCTTTGGCTGGTGAAGCGTTTCTTGGACGTGTTTTTGATGGGTGGCACCTGGTGCCTCCCAGTCTTATAGTACGTATGTTTACAGTTTTTTGTTGTTGCTTTATGTTCAGTTTTCGACGCACAACGATGCTTTCACTTCAATTTTCTTGAGTTTCACCAGCCAATCAGAGCTACTCACATCTACTCACGACAGTCTTGTCAGGTTTTGGCTTCGTGCTGCCAATCTTTTGGGGCAAGACCTTCTTTCCACTACTGCCGAGAGGTGGTGGTTTGAACACCATCTATGGCAGGGTTATCCACCTTCCAACTATCCACGATCCAACTTTTGAAGACCTCGTGAAATGGCATGCTTTGTATGTAGAAGAGTTGAAATCCATGTTTGACGAATACAAAGTGAAATTTGGCTTTGGCGACAGAGAATTGCATTGTTTCTGATCCCCTCGGGAAACTCGAGAAAGCACAGGAGTTTTTGCAGTTCTCTGTCGTATTTTGCGGAGGAAAAAAGATGAAACAACTGCGTGCTGAACAGGTTGATCTTGGTTGATCTCGGTTGAACCTTGTTCCAGCATGTTTTCCAGGATGCAAGACAATTCGGTCCCGAGTTCGGCTTTTCGAATAGAATCACTAGAAAATCACTCGACAGCGACTGCGACTTAGGCCGGGCTGGTGGTGAGTCCTGGAGGTGCCATGCGCTGCGGTGATGAAGTGTTTGGTGTGGCTGAGGGTGCTCTTCGGTCGGGAGCTGAGAAACTTCATGAAACTTCCATCGTGTTTAATGTGAATTTGCTGAGAATACAAAGAATACAGGCACTGAATTTACATGAAACTACCATAAATCGCCTCCTTTTGATAGTTTCTTCAGACTTATTCAATTTCTTTGGATTACTTATAAAGATGATTTTGCGTACGTTGTCAACAGATGCTTCTGAAGATCAGAGTGCTGCCATGTGCTGCCATCAATTTCAGCCACTTTTCCTGCATTCGATCTTGACCTCAACATCCTCAACCCTTCAGAAACTTCTCAACCCTTTCAGTGGCCCTTCAGCTTTCCTTCAGGTCTTTCATTGAAAGTTCTCGTTGGTTTGCGGCTCTCATTCCGCGTGGCCTGAGTGGCGTCGAGATGTCGTCCTTGCCCACCGTCAGCTTGTGACCTGGTGAGAACAGCAGTTTGAGGGCTTAAACATCTTAAAACATTTTGTGACATTTTGTGACCTTGACTTAAAGCAGTTTGAAGTTTTCCCTTTTCAGTTTTTTTAAGTTTCTTTTCCCAACATGTTTGGTAGTGAAGTTAGCTGAGTCGGCCACATTTCTAGAGAGGGGTACCGTGACCAGCTTGGGAATGTCGTTTGTTGTGTCGTTTGTTGTGCCCCAAGGACTTTGGCCGCGGCCATGGATTTTGGCCGCGTGGTCCATGGTGATGTGGTGGTCATCCAAGCGGGCGCAGGTGGCACCGGCTGTGCGGCCTTGGCCGCTCTACGTCGCTGCGGTGCTCTACCTATGGCGACGGCCGGAAACGTCCAGCACCAAGGGGATGGAACTGGGACATGTTGACATGTTGCAGTGGTTGGATGGAACTGGTGCTTGTAAGAATGATTGAACATGAAACACTGGTAGATGGATGAATATGGATGATGATGTACTAGATTGTATTGGATTGTACTAGTCAGATTCAAAACTGGGCATCCGGAAGGTTGGGGGGCCCTAAGTCTTGACCGATACCCATACGCATTTGGGCTATGATGTCGATCGATTGTAAGGCCAAGAAGCAATGCTTTCTTCGGGTTCGCTGTGGTGTTCAAAACGTGTCAAGTACGCGCAGCGGACAGACGCGACTTGGATACATTGCCGCGCATTGCCTCAAAAAGCAGTTTTGTTCCAGAGAACTGTTTGGACAAGTTATTTTGAACATGAGAATAAGCCTTGCCACATGTTTCCGAAATCTGGCGGAAACTCTGCACAGGTTCCTGCTGGACTTCTTCGAGAATTTGCCCCCGAGATGTCTTGGGGCCAGCTTCATGGTGAACAGTTTGACCCACGACGATTTCATCCCAAGAGGCTGTGGCTGTGGCCTGGGCCAGTCGAACTGTGTCATACTGTCCTGTCGTGCAAATTGGTCCGGTGCAAGTTGCAATTTCGCTCAGACAAGAACACATTTTAACAAATTTTGAGATCTTGGCCCATATCTTGGCTAGATGATTTTAGATGTGTTTTGGTTCGTTATTTTTGTGCAGCATCAGTCTCCGGAGGACTCTCCATTTTGGCACCAGGAGGGCGTGCTGTGGAACTGGGGAAGTTGCGAGTGCCTTGTCCAATCGTTTCGAAACCTTTTCAAGTAGTGCTCAAACGGCCCAACCCATTTGTTTTCCCTGCTGAAACAGATGATTTTGGAGCTTAGGGATTCTTGGAACACCGGCATGGCGTCATTTTGACCTGTGAAACATGTTTCATCGCTCGTTCCAAGAGTGAAGCACAGGTCTGGTCAGTACAAGCTGTGAATAGATTTCGCGAAGACATTTTGTATGCCACCATGCTCCTTGGCAGATGTCACTAGGTCTACTGGTTGTTTCCAATTTGCTTCCACATATTTCTTCATTTTGTTATTTTTTTTGAAAGCCAGCCGGACAAAGCTGGCAAGTTGTTTTTTGCGAACGTAGTGAGAGATTAGGGGTCTGGGGGAGGTGTTGACGTACGGGCCCTTTTTTCCAGCCTCAGTTGGTGTTCAGGGTGTCTGCGGGGAGTGTTTTGCAGGGTAATGTACCAGCTCGCAAATGGGTGACGGTGGGGTGTCGATTTTCGTGATATTGGGATTAAATAGGTAGAGAAATAAAAAAGTGCGGCTAAATATATAATTTATAAGTAGACATATAGATGAATAGATAGGCAGATAATAGATGGATGGAGGGTAGACCGAGAGTGGTCCGTGATAGTCGGGCTAAATAGGTAGACAAATAGATCCATAGATAGGTAGATAGATACACAGATAGATAGATAGATAGATAGACAGATAGATAGATAGATAGATAGATAGATAGATGGACAGAGGTCAAAGAACTTTCTTGGCAGCAATCTTCAATGACAAGCTGACATAGAGCTATGCCGTTCCTTCTGCTTGGGAGACTGTGTTTTGCGCTGGCAGTTGGTAGTGTGCTTGCAGACTTTGAGTGGGAGGAGGAACCGTAGAGACGGGCGGCTACTATCCAGGCTGCGCTTTAAGAGACAGCGGCAAATTCGATGTGGCTTGCTGAACGTGGACCGTCACGTCATCTGTCTTTGGCTACAAGCGGATGACAGCTAGAGAGCTAGATGTGAGATGGAGACATGGACAGGTGGATAAAGGCGTCCGCATATGGTGAGAACAACGAACATGACAGATGTACTGCTAAGGAGAAGCGGCAGAATCAAAGCCGGCCTTGAAGAACGCATGCTTAACAGTATTTTGTCAAGAAAAAGACTGCAGATGCACTGATATGCAGATGCTGCAATCTAACAGAAGTGTAGCAGAGCAGGACCTTTCCGTTTGGCCTTTGACAGCTCTGCCGTGGAATGGTGTCAATGTCACATGCGATATCTTTTGCATGCCGTGGACCGTCACGTCATCTGTTTCTGGCGATACACGCTGATACAACTGGGATCATGTGGGATCATGGAAAAAATGGGCCGTGGCAGATATTTTGGCAAAGTACAGAACGCCATCATCGCGCGGCGTACCAATGGATATGGAAGCAGCTACCAAGAACCAAATCAAGAGTCTGCATGTTTAGATCACGGTTATGTTAAACCGTGTTAGGCCTATGTAGGGCCTATGTTGGGCTTTTGTTGGTCCATGTTGGGCTCCTAGACGCCATGTTGGGGCCATATTCGTGCCATGTTGAGCTTATGTTAAGCCAAGAAAGGAGTGTTCCTTTTGAGCCTTTACCCGGCCCAAAAAGAACACGTCGTTTTTGGATCATGTCGGGTCAATGTTGGGCGTATATGGAGCCTATGTTGGGCCTATGTTGATCTATGTTAGGCTCTTGGATGTTGGGGCCATATTTGAGCCATGTTGAGCATATGTTAAGCCAAGAAAGGCATGTTCCTTTTTAGCCTTTACCCGGCCCAAAAAGAAAACGTCGTTTTTGGATCATGTCAGGACCACTTTGGGAGCATATGGAGCCTATCTATGTTGATCTCTGTTAGGCTCTTGGAGGCTATGTTGGGGCCATCTTCGAGCCATGTTGAGCTTATGTTAAGCCAAGAACGGCGTGTTCCTTTTAAGAGCTCCAATCTTGAAGGCGTTACGCGCTGGAAATTGACTGCGGTAGGGTATCGATCCTCCATCGGTCTGGGTTTTCGTGGGTGGGCTAAGTAGCCGGTCAGAGAAATCGATAGAGCGAGATATTTTGCTTAAGAGACTAGAGATACGTAGCTGACCAACAGAGTTTTAGGAAGGCGACCGCTGGAGTACGCGCGGTCGTGATGCTTGCAGGTTTGCTGCAACTGGAGAAATCAAATTTTGAAGGTGTTCTGCGCAGGAAGTTCACTGCTCTCAGTCGTGATGCTTGCGGGCTTGCTCCAACAGAAGAACTCCAGTTTTGAAGGTGTTATGCGCAGGAAGTTTGCTGCAATAGGGTATCGGTTCCCCCTCAGTCCGGTTTCTAGCCAGTGAAACAAATAGATGGAGAAAAATATATTGCTCGAGAGACTGAAGATACGTAAGCCGCCAACAGAGTTTCAGGATGTCTGCCTCAAAACTTTCTGTGCAGCTAGGGCTACGCTAGAACTTGGAGGATTTCAATGTTGAAGGTCTTACACGCAGGCAATTTGCTGTGTGGAGGGGTTTTCATTATGAGAGCTGGCTTTCGTTCCGCCCTTCTCAGGTTTGTTGCTTTTCATGCACGCATCATTTATATGGGATCAACGGGGCCCAACTTGGCCCGATATTTTTGGAGCGGCTCAACCACTAAATATTGTGGATCCATATCTTCATTTTTGTTTGTCATGTGCTATCGGGCTGCTATCGCGACAATATCAAAATTGACGCAAGTGTATGTGTTGAAACCGCCAAACAGTGCGTCACACCTGGAATCTACCAGCGTTGAGGTTGCTGGATGCGCGGACCATGAGAGCTGCACCAACATTGGCCGTAGATCTTCGTGCCATCGCAGCAGCAGTTCATGCTACTGGGATTCAACGGCAACGGGGGGGTTGTGTCAATATTTGGGCGTTTCTCTGGAGAATTACTTCTGGTCTGTGTGGGGAGACGACCAGAAACTTGAGAAATAATTTCTTTAGCAGAGACGAAGTCGAGAAGGCGGTTAATGTGATTCATGTCGTTAGTGTGACTCAGCAAGGGAGTTGTAACGTCTCAATTGGAATCCATCACTGCATTTCAACGTTTCATGCTTGTGTATCCATCTTACATGGCACAAATCCTGATGGATTCTGCAGAGGCCAGAGAGTTGAAGCTGCCTCCGATGTCCGTCTTCGACTTCTCTGATGCTTTGCAGGTCTGTTTTGTTTTTTTTCGATGCGTCATGTCGCTCTTTTGCGATTGCACATTTCGTCTGATATTTGAATCTGATATGGGGTTGGGATACCCGGAACTCAGCAATTGAGATTTCATCGGCTCACTTGGATCGTTCTGTTTTTTCCCCAACCGCGGTAGCTTCGCGGTCTCACTTAGAGAATACTCTTCCCATCCCTTTCCCCAGCGCAGCACCAGTATACACCATAGCACATCAGAGATTGCGGGTGATTGTTGGATCTGATTTTGGTGAGCGTTTGTTATGAATTTTGCAAAAATATGAAAGATACCTCGATATCCCTGATAAAAAATGGTTGGACAATTTTATATTTTTGGGGCGATTGATTGTTAGGAATTTGGTTATGGTTGTTTATAGCATAGGAGTTGTTATGATTTGCGATTCTTGTTGATGTTGCTATGATTCCCCACCTGCCAGGTGAGGGTTGTTAGATTTTATGTCAGTTGCCTCCTCCTGCCTCGTCCTCCTCTCCTCCTCCTCCTCCTCTCCTCCTCTCCTCCTCCTCTCCTCCTCCTCCTCGTCGTCCTCCTCGTCCTCCTCGTCCTCCTCGTCCTCCTCGTCCTCCTCCTGCTCCACTGCGATCCATGTCAGTGTGCCCTGCCGGACCTCAACCACGACCATCCACGCCCAGTGTTCCCTGCCGGACCTCAACCACGACCATCCACACCCAATGTTCCCTGCCGGACCTCAACCACGACCATCCACGCCCAGTGATCCCTGCCGGACCTCAACCACGACCATCCGTTCCAGTGTTTCCTGCCGGATCTCAACCACGACCATCCCCGCCCAGTGTTCCCTGCCGGACCTCATGTGGGAAGATATGGGACAAAGAATGTGCAGAAGAAAGTTAGAAAGAATGTCAGAAAGAATGTCAGAAGATATGCCAGAAGATATGCCAGATAGAATGCCAAATAGATTGCCAGATAGAATGCCAGATAATATGCCAGAAGAGATGTCAGAATATATGCCAGAAGATATGCCAGATAGAATGCCAGATAATATGCCAGATATGCCAGATAGAATGCCAGAAGATGTCAGAAATATATGCCAGAAGATATGCCAGATAGAATGCCAGATATCAGAAGATATGCCAGAATAGATATGCCAGAAGATATGCCAGAAGATATGTCAGAATATATGCCAGAAGATATGTCAGATAGAATGCCAGAAGATATATATATGCCAGAAGATATGCCAGATAGAATAGATATGCCAGATATGCCAATATGCCAGAAGATAGAATGCCAGATAGAATGCCAGATAGAATGCCAGAAGATATGCCAGAAGATATGCCATCAGAATATATGCCAGAAGATATGTCAGATAGAATGCCAGAAGATATCAGTGCCAGAATATATGCCAGAAGATATGTCAGATAGATGCCAGAAGATATGCCAGATAGAAGGCAGAAGATTTGCCAGATATGCCAGAAGATATGCCAGATCATATGCCAGAAGATATGCCAGATAGAATGCCAAATAGAATGTCAGAAGATATGTCAGATAGAATGCCAGAAGATTTGCCAGTAAGAAAATGTATAAATGTCATGGTGGGGATCACACGAAGTAAAGTAATTTTTTCTGTATGGTTATGTTATGTTGTGCTTAGATGTTATGATTTGTATGATTTGTGTTGATTGTTTGTCATAATTCGGTTGCACGATTGTTTGTATGAAGGTAAGTTGGGGTGCTGATGGTTTAGTGTGGAATGCTATGGCAATGCTAGTGTATCTACTGTGATTCGTTCGTTTTGGTTTTTACCGTGTGCTATGGTGCACTGTTTTTGTTGTTGTGCTGGTGCATTGTTTGGCGGTTACGTAGTTGCTTTGCTGTGCTGTCATAGATGCTGCAGTGGAGCTAAAAGATGAGAACCGTATCAATTGAGTTCTCAGCAGGGTTCGCGAGTGGGTGCCCAGATACAGGTTCTGTGCGGGTTGCGGCGTGTTTGCAGGTGTCTCTGGAGGTTCAGGTGTAGTGAGTTCTGGGATGGTGGATCTTCACTGGGTGCTGTCACACTTTCCTGCCGCCTC